CAAAAAAACCCACGTTTGGGGATCAGTTTGCCCCACCCAATTTGGTCTGTGATCCAAAAGATGATGATGTGATGCTTGATTTGAGTTTCTGATGATAAAGCTGTGCTGTTTGCGAGCTGGAGGACAAAGAGAACGTGCAGAAGAGGAGACAGAAAACAACGGGAAAACGCAGGAACGGGAAGAAGTATCAGAATGGAGAACTCATTTCTGGAAAACCCTTTCTGAATCTTGCTGCTGCCTCAAAATCTGACTGAAGTAAAAAGGCGTTGGGGGTGAGATTTGTATTCAAGAATTGTGCGCATCAGAAACCCGACAAGACAGAAAAAGCATTCATTAATGACTTTCCCTTTCGGTCTGAATTTTATAACGTTTTATGGAGAAATTGTTAAATAATGTTTTTTTTTATTTGTTTTTGTCCTTCAGATTACAATTTAAAAGTAAACAACCTTTTTATTTCAAGTTTGACCCCAAAGCTTTTAGTGTGAGAGTATTGCCCTCGGAATATTGTATTGGTTTTTTTTTATAGTGATTGTGTGAAGTCTTATATTCTTGTTCTTCTGGCATGTATGCAAAATTTATAGAAAAAAAATTTTTTGTGCTTTGATTAATACTGCAGGTTGTGATATGTTTTTGTCCTACAGCAATCTACTGTACAAATGTATACAGTACATATTACAGTAATGTATTACAATATAAACACTTTAACATTTCATTTGGGGTAGGGGTCTGAAAATTTTAAATTCATGTACTATACTGTATAAAATAAATTTAAGTTTTAAGACCTTTTGTATTGTGTTGTGTCAATGCTTGCTTTACACTTCTATAAAATGACTATTGGGGACTATCGATAGTTACATTAACGATAAGGGAGAATTAGGTTTCCACATTAGTGTCATGATGTGAGGTGGTCATACACTATCTGCAGAATATTATTATTATAATCAAAAAGAAGCGCTAAGCCACAAGGGCTATACAGCATCTGCAGAATAGGATACAATCATCCAATCCAATGTAATGAATGACAGATCCAATTCCTTGGATAAAGTATCCCACTGTATGATGCTTTATGAATCCTATGAGTTTAGTATTCTCCATGAATGTAATAGTAATAATGGATAACAGAGGTTCACTTTTAAGTGCTGGCAACAGCCTTTACCAACATTTAAGTAACTCTTTCCTTGGATAAAACCAGACTGCCTCCCCATTCTTAAACACCACGTGACTCCCATGGGGTTAGAGCTTCCCACAGTAATGTGTCTGCATTTTATTCAAGTATCTGATGACTAAAACATTCCTGGTGGGACAAGGTAAGATAGGCATGTTTCTATACAGGTGTGGTCTGTGTTCAGCTAACAGTAAATAAGTTGAGTGCTACACCTGGGTGTTCCTCAGAGAAAGGTTTCTTGATGCTAGTGGGGGGCTCTTGATCCAAGGAACTGGACTTTTTTTTTTCTTTCCGTGGATTGAACTTGATTATCTCCCAGCCCCCCAGGCACTATTACTCCTACCCGTTCAGTACTTCTCCCCAAATATAGTACAGTAGTCCCCCCCCCCCATATCTGTGAGGGATACTTTCCAAAACCTACTGTGTGTACCTGAAACTTTTAGTAGCGAACCCTGTAAGCCATTTTTTGTTTACATACATACCTATGATAAAGTTTAAATGACAAATTATGCAGAATAACTGAAAAATTAGTACAGTAGGGCCCCACTTATATGGCAGGTTAGGTTCCAGGCTATCGCTGGGAAGCAGATATCGCTGGAAATCAGGACACCATTTTTTTCCACTTATAAATGCATATAAATGCCAGACAACAAGTTGACACTAACTTATATTAAGTTAGTAATAGAACTAGGCATTAAAAAACACAATAAAAAGTAAAATACATACACAGTACATTCATTACTTACCTTAAAATATTTGTAGTCTCATTTATGTAGGGTGAGAAGTGAGTGGTATTTATTTGTAGGAAGTCAGTGTAGGTAGCCAGTAGGTGTAGCCCGCCTGGGCTACATCTACTGGCTACCTACACTGCGGCCCGGAGCCATATTATTACCATCAACACACCTTGTTCACTAAATTTAATCGTTTCTAACAACTACCTTCAGATGCCATCATAAATGAAGGGAAAAGTAATGAATAATTCATGCTGAGAACTGCAAACAAAAGCGGAGTGTTAAGGGGAGTGACTAGGCCAAACACAGATTCATGCACGTTTTCTCTGGTGCTGGACCCCTCAAGGAAGGTTCCTTGATGTTGGTGAGGGGCTCTTGATTTAGGGAATTGGATCCGTGCTCCAGTTCCCCAAATTAAGCCTGAATGCCTTCCACATCCCCCCCAGGCGCTGTATAATCCTCTGGGTTTAGCGCTTCCCCCTTGATTATAATAATAATAATCTGGTGCTGGACCAGAGAAAACGTAATGTTTTCCCTCCGCCTGGCTAGCACACCTCCATAGCATATAAACATGAGAAGGGTTGCCATATAGAGAGTTTTGGTCATAATTTTAAATTGCTGTATTAGCGGAATGCCGTAAGGCAAAACGCCATGAAGTGGGGCCCTACTGTACTTTTTCACTGATGGGAAGTACTTCACGGCTTCTCTTCGGCTTTAACCCTTAAACGGTCCAAATAGATCGACGTTCAAATCCGTAGTGCTCCAAAAGTAGATCTATGTTTTTTTTACATATTTTCAAATATAACAAAAAAAAAAATGTAGATAAAAGTTTTTTACACATTTTCAAATGTAAAAAAAAAAAAAGATGATGTACATTTCTTTACATATTTTCAAATGTTGAAAAAACGTATATATACATTTGGACCGTTTAAGGGTTAAAGAACTGCCGTCATCACTACTTTTGCATTTTGTTGTCATTATTCAAGAAAATTAAGGGTTATTTTCAGGCTACCGTAAACCGTGGATAACTGAAACAGCAGAAGCCAAATCCGTGGATACGGGGTTTCCACTGTAATAATTTACATTATAAAACCACATACTGCATAATTTTTATACTTCCCTGCACAGTATATGGCTCTTATAAAAATAAAAGTTTAGTATTTAACTGAACCTAAATAAAATTCAACAAAGGAAATAAAACTGATTTAATCCTGCATATATTTATTTTATAAAATAATGTTCAATATAAAACAATCCATATAATAACTGCTGAAAAAAGTAACAAGGTTCAACTATTCATATCATACTCATTAATAAAATATTTTGCTGACATTTAGCAAGTCACAAGTCTCTATTATTATTATTGTAGATTGATGAGAAGTGTTAAACTCACATGGGTCATATATAGTGCCTTGGAAAATGGGAAGCAATTGTATTTTTATCAAGGAAGAGGACAGGTCCAGTTCCTTGAATCAAGGTGCTGTATGACCCCTTACAGGTTTAGTGCTTCCCCACAGATATAATAAAGTCAGCCAAGAACAGTACAGCCTCTCCTCACTTAACGACAGAGTTCCGTTCCTAAGACCACATCAGTAAACAAATTCGTCACTAAGTGAGGAGCATACTATAATGGTAGTGGGTTTGTGTCGACCATCTTTGATACTGTTTTAATGTCACCTTTGCACCATTTATAACATTTCTGTTATATTTTTAAATGTTTATACAGTAGTGCACTGTATACTGTAATAAACAGAATAGAGGAAATCAGCTCTAATATACATTATTTAGGTATGCATACTGGTCAGAGAGCCTGACTCACGAAATCGTAATGACACGATTGCAAACAAACCATACCACTGGCGGGATTGAACCCGCGGTCAGAGAGTCTCAAAACTCCAGACCGTCGCATTAGCCACTGGACCAGCTGGTCCAGTGGCTAACGCGACGGTCTGGAGTTAGTTAGTTAGTTAAAGATTAGCCGGTATTCTCCCGGCCCGGGCCTGGAGTTTTGAGACTCTCTGACCGCGGGTTCAATCCCGCCCGTGGTATGGTCAGAGAGCCCATTGTAAGTCCGAGTCATCGTTAAACGAGTAAGTCGTTAAGCGAGGAAAGGCTGTATTAAAAAAAAGTGGGTTGATTGCACTATGTATAATATATTAAATTTTGGCAAAATTTATGCATTTTATATAATATTTTAAATTACATAAAAAATCACTTGTACTGTACTACAACAGTTCTGTGTAACAATATATTTTTCCTCTTTTTCTTTTTTGGATCACCTAGGCATGGTGACCCAAAAAAGAAATAAACACTTTCACCATCATTCACACGCAATCACTGTCTTCACAGAGGTGCACAGATATGAAAGTTCAGATGTCACTCCAAACAGCAAATATTTTTCATCTACTAGCATAAATTTATCTATCATCAATTTAAGCACTAAATCCAAAAGGCTCAAACAGTCATGAGAAGGGATGTGGGAGATTAGGAATGAGCAAAGAGTAGGGATGTGTGAGGGGCAGGGGTGTACAAAGGTGGGGGTTGGTTGAGATAAGGGAATGTACAAAAACTAAACTTGAAGTCAAAGTTGGTGCATAAGTTTAGTTTGTTAAAATAAAAGTTAGTGTGTGTCTCCATTAATGATGGAACTTTCAGCTATTTGCATAAAACAGTTCAAACCTGAAAAGGAGTAATGATTTCAACTTTACATTTATAATCTGCAAAGGAAACTGGTTAGTCTTTGATGGGGTTACTTGACTTCAGTTGCTCGTAGTGTAGTAATGGTATTTTTTCTTATGATGAATATCAATGCACTTTTCTGAGTACCAGTGTCACTGTGAGGACTGTCACAGGCTTGCTTTGTCCACTTCTCTCTGGTCCCACCTGTACTGCAGACTAATAACAATAATAATAATAATTCTCCATGGGAAAGTGGAGCAGAATTCGTCCTTCGTAAGCCATGCATGTTGTAAGAGGCAACTAAAATGCTGGGAGCAAGGAGTTAGTAACTCCTGTATAAATTACTATATTTAAAAAGTAAAACTTGTTTTTCTTTTTAGGTCACCCTGCCTCGGTGGGATATGGCCGGGTTGTTCGAAAAAATAACAATCAAAGTGCTAAACCAGAAGGGGTCATATAGCACTGCAGGGTGGGATGTGCTAAAGAAGGAATATTTAGAGGTTAGAGACAAATGTGAGGTAGGAGTGTGCAAGTGGTAGAGCTAAAGGGAAAATGTAATCAAAGTTGGTGCAATAAGTTAGTTTCTGTTAAAAACTCAGAGGGAATCTGCATCAGAAGTGGAATTTTCAGCGAGCAGGTCGGGTAGAGTAAGTGTGTTTGGCAGTAGAGGCGTCAGAAGTGAATTCTGCGTGCCCATTCAAGGGCAAAAAAATAGCTGACTATTTGAATACCCCACTGAAGGCATCATATACATATTGGTAATACACACACTACTTCATGAAATCACATAATAGCATCCCAAATTTGGATAGTGAACAAATGGATGTAACAGTTATCCTAATTATAAGAGTACATAACAGCCTGGTTGATCAGGCCCTTATCCACCATGAGGCCTGGTCACAGACCAGGCTGAGGGGGCATTGACCCCCAAAACCCCCTCCAGATATACATATTTTCTTACAAAAATATAATTCTATCCGAAACAGAATTAACAGAATACATGCTTTTATAGTGACCACTAAAATAACAGTTATTACTAAGCCATCAACCTTTCAAAATATAAAAGTACCTTGAAGCTGAAAGTCTCGATCAAAGGAATTGGGCCTATCTTTCCCTTCCTTGAATCAAACCTGATTACCTCCCATTCCTCATTCCTGCTGCATGCTGAATAGCCCATACAGGTTAGCATATTAGCAGCTAAAATATACAGTACCAACATTTCTAAAAATTTTGGTGCTATCGCCACAAATTTGTTGTGATCATTCTCAAAATGATAATGATAGCAGCAAATTAAATATAATATATGAATGCATATTTTAATTGATTATGTAGTATTGTAAACCCTCGATTTATCAGATAACAGGGAAAAGCAAGTGGCTGGTAATGAAGATTGATGAGATTGTTTTGCATTGCATAACAACGGACAATTCTGTAACCAATGCACTTTGTCCAATGTTTCCGAATCAAATGATCTGACAGATTTTGTCTCGATTTTCCTAAGCTCGTTAAATCAAGGTTTTACTCTGACTTTTTCGAATATATTTCTGTTAAGAGCACTGAATAACCAATAGGTTATAGTGCCATTTCAAATATTACAAAGCAAGACATCAAACAAATAGCCCTTTTACACAATTTCTATTTAACTGAAACATTACTTTTCTGAACTATCCTTTAGCCTTGCCCTTATATCCTGTGTTACATATTACAAATAACAATTCACACTAAAAGTAAACAGATCATTTTATCACTTGCCACTGCTTAAGATATTTATTTCCATAAACTAAATACAAACCATTATGTCTTAACATTGCTTAAAACATGTATTTCAATACCCACTACTGGAAACCTTTCATACATAGAGTGTATGTTTGTGGTAAAAGGTAAACTTTCACTTGTAAAATTTCTGGTCACAGTAGATTCCAACTTCTTTGGTTTAAATGACTAAAATAGTATATCCAAAACATTAATATGTTGACCTTTAAGGGAGATAGTTATCTGCCTTGATGCTGGTGAAGGGCTCATGATCCAAGAAACTGGAGCTACCCTCCCCTTCCTTGGACAAAAATTGATTACCTCCCATTCCTCAGGTCATTTATGGCACCTATGGGGTTCAGAGCTTCCCCATGAATACCATCATTATTATTTAATTTGTAAAGCTGCACTTCTAACTTTATACACCTAATTTATTAGCTGAGTGCCTTCCCCAGCACAATTATCCAGCAGATTACACAGGACCTCAGAGTACAAACTTAACTGTAGAACCAGCAGTCTTGGCTCCATAGTGACCAGCCCAGAATGCACTATCCTTTCCTACGTTGGTATATGTAATTCTTTTTAGTCCCTTTGGATAATCCACCAATGTTGTTTCCATCTGAAGAGAGATAAATAACAGACTATGAAGGCAAACAGTTCGTCATAAAATTTTGCAGTGTATGATGCAGTACAGCACTGATAGAATATAAAATACTATCTGTTGAGGAAAATGGTTAGATTGTGGGACTTTTTTGTATGAATATAATAATAATAATTTTTTTTCAACAAACTGGCCGTATCCCACCAAGGTAGGGTGACCAAAAAAGAAAAGCAAGTTTTTCTTTTTAAATTTAGCAATAATAATAAAAATACTTCTAGTTCATTAACCCTTTCAGTGTCCGTCCTATAGATCTATGGCTATGAAGCCAGGGTCCAAGCTTTAGATCTACGCCATGAGCTCAGCTCACTCAGATAACCTGTGAGCAGTAAATTTGGATCTAGATATGATAGAATACCTATATGTGGTAAGTGTGCACCACATAAATCCTGCAGCACGCAGTGCATAATGAGAGAAAAAATTGCAACCATAATTTTGGATTAAAACCGATTTTGCAGTGCTTTTTCACATGTTTTTTTACAGTTGTATTCGTGATTTCTTGATCTCATTTGATAGAATGGAAGATATGTCACAGAAATAGAGATGATTCTGATTGGTTTTAGTACTGAAAATGGCTTGAAACTGAGCTCAAAGTAGCGGAAATGTTCAATTTTTGCCGATGATCAAGGGTAAACATATGACGTCACGCATCTAATACGCATCAGCTGGTGGGTCTAATATACGTTCATGAATGTGCTGATATTATTTATATAATTATTACAACATTGCATAAGAGTAAATCTTCTATTTTTTTGGTGTGAATAAAAATTCATTATGTGAATAAAAAATCAAAATGGAATTCATTTGTAAAGCCTGAAAATATAACTAATGAACAGAGGAAATGTTAGTTTAGTGCTAGGAATGCCTGCATTGTTTATTCTGGACCCTATTTTGAAATTGGAATATTTTGAACTTTGTGTTAAATTGGCCAAATTACCAATTTCCAATCACTTTATTGGGTAGTTGAAACAGTTGAATGGGCGATTTTTTGTGCTCAATCGATAAAATAGAAGTAATACTAGTGAAATAGCTAAGAATTTGGTTGGCTGGAAAATTGTAATTGGCCTAAAACGGGAGTCAAAGTCGGCAAAATTGCCTGTGTGTCAATATCGCTGACACATCAAATTTCGTGAGAGTGTAACTTCGTAAATTTTCTATCAAATTTCATACTTTTTGTTTTATTGCCTTCAGAAAAAGATTCTCTACCATTTCATAAGAAAAACAACAAATTTTTTTGAAAATTCTTGAACCCTGGCTGTCACTCTGAGATTTGGCCTCTGGACCCTAAAAGGGTTAAACTTTATGCTGTACAAGGCTATAATGCTTTCCATATTTGAACTCAATTAGGGTCTGGGATATATTATGGAAAACTAAATATTAGTAAAATACAAACCATACCACGGGCGAGATTGAACCCGCAGTCAGAGAGTCTCAAAACTCCAGACCGTTGCATTAGCCACTGCACCAGCTAACATGACGGTCTGGAGTTTTGAGACTCTCTGACCGCGGGTTCAATCCCGCCCGTGGTATGGTTTGTTTGCAATCGTGTCATTACGATTTCGTGAGTCATAGTAATATACAATCCAGTGGATTATGGTAGGTGCTCAATTATCCAAAGTAAAGAGGACAAGCATGGCTATAAATAATTTAAACTGCAATGTTTGATTAATATGATACTGTATACTTTCAACAAGGTAAAATGGTGAAAGTTAGAATGTAATTAGTTGTATATTGTGTATTGATTGGGATGTGCATTATAAGTTTAGCATTTTGATGTAAAGTTAAAGGACACAAGCGCAACTAATGTGACATTTATTGTGGCAACGTTTCGCTCTCCAGGAGCTTTATCAAGCCATTACAAACAATACATGGACACAGAGGGTATATAAAGGCTCAGAGTGAGGTGTAATACTAGTGAGGTACCATTTCGATGTTCACTAGTGGTGGTAGTAGTAGTAGTAGTAGTGGTAGTGACAAAAGTAATACAATATGGTAGAGCAATTAATTGCTCTACCATATTGTATTACTTTTGTCACTACCACTACTACTACCACTAGTGAACATCGAAATGGTACCTCACTAGTATTACACCTCACTCTGAGCCTTTATATACCCTTGTGTCCATGTATTGTTTGTAATGGCTTGATAAAGCTCCTGGAGAGCGAAACATTGCCACAATAAATGTCACATTAGTTGCACTTGTGTCCTTTTACTTTACATATTGTCGGTAATTCTACCAACTTTATTACAATGTAAAGTTGTGGAGAAATTTTCTCCAACCCCCCAGGGGGCATCAATCCCCCTCTCAGGGGGCAGCAACCCCCATCCTTGGGGAACCTAAGACCCTTCTCTCTACCTTCCCACACTGTAGAGCAGGAGTGAGGATGAGAAAGGTCACAACTTGTACTTTTTTCACTAGCAGCTATCAAGAAGTACAGGTCATGACTCCTCCTCATCCTTACTCCTGCTATACAGTGTGGTAGAGAGAGGGGTCTTAGCTCCCCAAGGGGGGTTGCTGCCCTCTCAGAAGGAAATTGATGTCGTCCCTGGGGATTGGAGAAAATTTCTCCACATAAATTTTGGTAATTTACCTTGTACCAATGACTATTAATTACATTCTCCTCCTGTGAGGACCAGTGCAGCTTAACCTGCTGTATGTTTTCCAAACCTTCCAAACTAACAACGATGTTACTCCTGGAATGGCAGTCCCATCTTGCACTCACCCTAAAAAAAAAAAAAAAAAAAAAAAAGTACAGCAAATTAAATAATAAAATTAACATACAAGACAGGAAGGAATAATGGAAATATGCAACAGAAGCACATCATCCTACAACACTTCATTACAAGGTGATTCAATATATTTGAGAGGTTCAGCTCTAGCAATAACAGAACAAATATTATTAATAGCACAGAACCAGTGTGATAAGATGAACAGTAACTATATGGCTAACATCAGTAGAAAATTAATACAAGAACAATTATTAACTGAAAAATTTAAGAATAATGAATTATTAAAGATATAAAAAAATGGAATATTTGAAAAATGAAGCCCCTTAATGCTGTTGAAAGGATCTCAATCTATGTAACTGAAGCTACCTTTTAAGGGAGGTGTGCCATGGTGCCAGTAAAGGGCTCTTGATTCAATGATTTTGAATTATCCTTTCTTTTCAGTCCCCAGGGGCTGTGTGACTCCTACAAGTTTAATGCTTCCCCATTAATACAATACTTCCCTTCTCGATTCAAATTTGATTACCTCCCTTTCCTAGATACTATATGACCTCAGAGATAGAGCAGTTTCTCACTCCATTCCCTGGCACTGCATGACTCCAGGTTAATCTCTTTCCTCAAACAGTATTCCACATACAGTTCTTAGAGTAGTACAAAGGACATATCTGCAATAAACTGAAATTCTAAAGCATTCCTTCATTCAACTCTCTTGTGGCTGCCATCTCTATGCAAGTGATGGTCAAAATCACATCAGACTGAATCTGCCTTCCATCAAAGGTATTACAGGTGAGTCAGCAATTACAAACTACAATCCACTGTTGGTGGTATGGCCATCTAGCTAAGTACTGTTGATCAATTACTGGCTGCCCTATTTGAAGCTCTACCTCACTGCCTTAATTATTCAAGGAAATAAATTACCTACTGTATGCCAGGAAAAGCCTCATCTTCAAACATAATATTTAAGGTTATCTATGAGAGAGGGCAGGCATATCTTCTAAGATACGAAGGTATGCCAGTGAATGTATGAATCTGTAATGTATCAAAGATCTGCTAAGCTTCCAATGGAGTCACTCTACTTGTTTTCTGCTACTACTGTCAAGTGTCTTTATTGTGTTCCTCTACTCTCATCTGTCACCCTCCACCATTCTATAATGATGTCTGGGAGATGGAAATATTAGAAAGCATAACTGCTTTTACAGAGAATACTGGTACAATACCCACTTGCACACATGAACAATCTCCAGAAAAGAAGCAGAGCAATCTGCCTCCCTCTCCTTTGTAATGATGCACTGTATACTGAATCAGTTTTAGCAGTGAACACAAAAATAAAAATAATAATAATAGTCATAACACCAACAACTACTCCATCACACAGGAGAAATGTGAATTTAGTTTGAGCTATTAAACTTACCACTCTGAAATATGAATGGCTGGTTTCAAAATATCAACAACATGGGGATCAAAGCCAATACTCTCCAGGTTAATAACCTGTAACCTTGAGCAGATCCCATATGATGTGACAAAGCAATGTTGAGTAGGTAGGCCAGCCTCTGCAGGTATTGGGTCAGTGCCAACAGGATGATCCTCCACTATCATACCATCTCCTCCATGTTTTACTTTCCAGTGGTTCAATTTTTCTGTTAACATTAATCAAGATCCTAACATAAATGCTCTCATTTATATACAGTACTGTACTTTATATTTCATGAGCTAGTATATAAACACAATGAATGAGACAACTCACTGACAATTTCTTCATTAGGTTTAGTGTCTATAAAGAATACTGTATTAACCATGTGGTTAAATACATGACAGCATAATATCACAGATAGTTCACAAAGGAACATGCAAAGTAGAGAAAATTTGTCTGATAACATTTTTCTGAGCTAGTGCTGATAACAATAGCAGTGTTATTAGTCAGGATATGCAAATGCAACACAGTCCTATCAGAAAACAAAAAAAACTACTTGGGATTGCTACAAATCAACTACTGACAGAGCAGAGCAGACAAACAAGGACACAAGACTTAGTAAGTCAGTTTTAAGAAATATTTGGATTAATAAAAAATGCATCTTACCTCTTCCACTTGGATTGCAGATGAGATTAGTGTTGAGGGGCAAGTAACCACCAGATATTCCTTGAAGAATACGTAGAACCTGAGCTTCATCTGCTTCCTCCAGAAGCCTCTGTTTAGTAGCTGCAGGTAATCTGAAGCCTTCCCGTAACACTCTGCATAATCAAGGGTATTTCAAAATGTATGAAATGTCGCATAAATTTCTAACAATTAATACTGTATCCATTTTTTAAATAAAATTGGTTTTGCTTTGTTTGCAGCCTGTATTCTGTTCTCATAAAATGAAATGCATTAATTTTATTAAACCCAAATAAGTAAAATTTACACAGGACACCAATTTGGTTTAAGGAATCTTGATCTTTCCAAAAAATTACTAAATAAATTGACTTGCTGATTTAAGGCATCAATAGCAAGAATTTTAAAACCTGTCATTCCCATTTTTGTGCACTTCATATTTATGATATGTATCCAAGATATATACCAAAATACACTAGTATAGTTGCATTTTGGTCCATCTTCAACAGCAATGCAATGAACTCTTACTTTGTGAACCAGAAGTGGTGTTCTGTAAGCAAGTTGTGCCAGTACGGACAGACGCGTGTGACTGACGTTACCAGATCCTTGACTGGTACATAAAGAAAGATTTTATACATAACTTCTTGAGGAAGAGTATTACCACAGATTTCGATCCCATTACCTGAAATTAAACAGATACTGAATATCAATTAAGTTGTTCACCTATTATCTGCTACAATGAGGAAAGATGATCTATATTTTTGTTGTTACAGTACTGGATAATACGGTGGACCCCCGCTTAACGATCACCTCCAAATGCGACCAATTATGTAAGTGTATTTATGTAAGTGCGTTTGTACGTGTATGTTTGGGGGTCTGAAATGGACTAATCTACTTCACAATATTCCTTATGGGAAAAAATTCGTTCAGTACTGGCACCTGAACATACTTCTGGAGTGAAAAAGTTCGTTAACCGGGGGTCCACTGTATATGAAAAGTAACACAGTACTTTGCAAAGGAAATACAGTACTTAAAAATTTTAACTACATACATGTGTGTATTGTTAGAGAACGTAATTTTCATGCGAAAGCATATTTTTTCCCATTAAAATCTTTGGCTTATTAAGGTCTCCATTTGTCAAACACAAATTATTCATAAAAGCAAGTTTAAATACAAAAATAACTGAATCACTGTAGAGAGATAAATTAAACATGTGAAGTAATATATGGAAGATGAAATTTAATGCTGGAAATTGCCATGAAATGGAAATGGTCACAGATGCTAGAAAAAATAGGCCTCAAGTAGCAAATATCCTGCAATAATATGGAAAGAAAATACAGTACTTGGTATACATGTAAATTATATTTATTACCAAAGAACACACACGTATAGCAGGAGGAACCTATGCATTACTGGCAAATTTTAAGATTTCTTGAAATTATATAGATGAAGAAATGTTAAAAGAATTTGTTGGAAACTACAGTATACATTTGTATTATGGTGTCTACACACAAATAAATATGCACAGTCAAGGTATAAAAGCTAAAAGAAGAGTAACAAATTGGGCACCATAATTAAAGAACATACCCAATATTAAACACTGGGAATGGTGTGAAAACTATGTGATAAAGAGCCTACCTTCTGTAGTAGTACCAGAGCCTGACGTATTGCCCATTGTATTCTGGAAAATAATTAGTAATAGTTCATGATAATTTATAAATTTTAGTGAAAAATTAGCTTTATTTGCACTAAAACCTTTTAAAAAATCTTTTAATCAAATGCACTCAATAAACTGACCACCAATGCAGTAGCCCTATGCTGCTCAGTTAACCCAAATATTGTTTATTATCCACTAGTTAGCCAGACAACATTTACGTATTAGTAATTTTTGCATATAATATAAAAGCTGTAAGTGTGTACTCTAAGTTTATTTAGGAACAGGTACACATAAGTACAATTATCATACAAGTCTAAATTACTTAGGATAACCCCAAAAAAAAGGTCAGGCAGAGTAACTTATTTCCCATGGGGTTAATCAAGTGGTTAATCAAGTGATTCTATGCCTCTTCTAAACAATTCCTTTAATAAAAAAAACAGCATTATTTGATACATATAAGAATTAGACAGTTCAGCAGATTCATGACATAATATTAACTGGGAAATTGCCTCAATTATATACAGTATAAAACAAATCATATGTACAAGTGTAAAATACTACTTGTACATCTATGGTTACACTATCAAATAATTTAAGCCACTCATTACTGAGATCTTATCCTAAATTAAATCTGCATTGTATACTAGTATTTTATATTGCCAATAACATGTGTGCCCTAAAGACTAGTAAAGATAAAATGCAAATTAAATAGTATCCAAAAGTCTAAATAAAAAAAATTTATTAACACCCACACAGACCAAAATGCACAAAGTAACTCGAAATCCTTAAGCAAATACCTAACTACATAACATTATAATGAACATCAAAATGGTATACAATACCAACAGGTTGGTAGGTAAGACACATAGGCAACAGTTAGGCAACTTTATTCTGAAACGTTTCACCTACACAGTAGGCTTCTTCAGTCGAATACAGAAAGTAGGCAGGAACAGTAGAAATGTGAAGACAATGTAATCAGTCCATCACCCTCAAAAATCAGTCCAACCTCAAATTCTACGACTTCAAGGGTGATGGACTGATTACATCGTCTTCACATTTCTACTGTTCCTGCCTACTTTCTGTATTCGACTGAAGAAGCCTACTGTGTAGGTGAAACGTTTCGGAATAAAGTTGCCTAACTGTTGCCTATGTGTCTTACCTACCAACATTATAATGAAAATGAGATATGTTGAAAATGGTGTAAAATACCTACAATTTGATGAATAAGAAACATGTACCAACAGTTGTTTATTATTGAAACAATAAAGATCCACCAGGAGGCCTGGTTACAGACCGGGCCGCGGGGGCGTTGACCCCCGAAACTCTCTCCAGGTCTCCAGGTAAACACAACTGTTGCACATGTGTCTTACTCATGGAAAATGAGATGTGTATCATTGTGTAAAATATAAATATACAGCAATACAATAACTATAGAGTAATACAATTGCTTCTTGATGGGTGTGTAAGAGTGACAACTTATGCTCCAGAAAGTTCCTATATATGTAGAATATTCCAGGCAATAAACATTACTTATATGAATTTAAGATCATTAATGTATATAAGTAAGTTTATGTAAGTGCAGACAAACAAATAGTTACACAAATTATCATACACATGTATGTAAATTGTCAAGGATAGCCCAAAAAAAAGTCAAACTTGATAAAAGCCATAAAGCATGAACTAATAAGATATTCAATTCTCTTGTAGTCATTGTAACTCTTGTAGTCATTGTAACTCTTGTAGTCATTGTAACTCTTGTAGTCATTGTAACTCTTGTAGTCATTGTAACTCTTGTAGTCATTGTAACTCTTGTAGTCATTATAACTCTTGTAGTCATTGTAACTCTTGTAGTCATTGTAACTCTTGTAGTCATTATAACTCTTGTAGTCATTATAACTCTTGTAGTCATTATAACTCTTGTAGTCATTGTAACTCTTGTAGTCATTGTAACTCTTGTAGTCATTATAACTCTTGTAGTCATTATAACTCCTAAGTTTATACTTACACTCTCCCAAGAGACTATGTAGAAAATTACTCACATTGTTATTGTCTTATTAATCTTGAGTTATTAATCTTAAGTTAGTCTTAAGTTTGCATGAAATGCTCTGCAGATTAAGTGACTTTCTGTATGCACACCTAAATATCATTCACCTTTGTACAAACATTATATCATGCTCAAATAAAGTATCATTATTATTAAAGTGACTTATTTCCATTGGGGTCCTTGTAATATCTTATTATTTAAATCTTAAAGGTTAAAAAAGCTATGTAACACAACTGTGTGAAAATCAACTACAATGACAGGAGATATACTATTAATATTACTATCATAACTAAGCGCTAAACCCACAAGAATCAGGGAGATATACTAAGAATAAGGAAAACTGAGTTATTTGCATTTGATATTATCCAAAATTGAACAATGAAACAAAAGTGAACAGGAATCCATTTGTAAATAAAACTAGAAGTTCCCAAATAGACCCCAATCGAAATAAATCACTGACTTTTTTTTGGGTTATCCTGGGTAGTCTACATGTATGCTGCTATGTATAATAATTTATTTAACTATTTGTGTGTCTGTGTTACTGGACTGGTGTGGGTGGCATCCTGGGGGACAAGACTGAGGACCCCAATGGAAATAAGACAGACAGTCCTCAATAACACACTGACTTTCTTGGGTTATCCTGGGGTTAAAAAATCCGAACAAAATCTTATCTTACCTGAATAAACTTACTGACAATCCCCAGCAGGTCGTGGTGCCACACTGGACCAGAGTTCAGTGACCGGCTATAAGTCCACAACCGTTAAAAAGTTACCCACAGAGCGGAAAAAAAATGGTGGTTAAAATTAAGCCGATGATAGATGCCACTCCTACATTGTGCCCGGCGGTAAGTTTATTTAGGCACAGCTACACAAGTATAATTATTGTACATAATGTAAATTATCTAGGATAACCCAAAACAGTCAAAGTGGCTTGTTTCTACTGGAGTTCCTGAAAAACAAGTACCAGGGGAAAAAATGAGGCCTACCAAGCCAGGAAGATCAGGAGAAATTTTCCACTAATGTTCAGGCGAGAGAAAAAAAAACGTCCACACTCAAAGAAAACTGATACAGTAGTCCACTTACTGCTGATTCTTACTGTTGTTCAGAGTGTTGTTGTCGAGAATGTTAGAGTGGCACCAGAGTGTGCAAGTGACTCACATCTGAGACGGGAAATACGTCCGGCACAGGTTCAGTAGTGTTAGTTTAATATATTAATTACGTACCCCATACCCATCCTGTGGGTGGCAGGTTACAAAGGTACATAATGGGTCCAAGGACTGGGACCCAAAGTTTTGATAGCTGAGCAAGTTTATTCAGGTATATACAAACAGTTACATAGATTATCATACATAGCAGCATGTGTAGAGAAGCTGAGATAACAAAAAAAAATTCAGTGAAAGTGACATTTCCCGGTACGACTGGAAAACGTTAGAACATGTTTCCGTAAGACACCTGCTGCCCTTGTTCACCCATCAGTATAAATAGGTACCTGGTTGTTAGTGGACTGGTGTGGGTCGCATCCTGGAGACAAAACTGACCTAATTTACGGGAAATACTCAGCATAACAAGCAACTTTCTATATAGTAGTCCCCTCAAGGAAGGTTCCTTGATGTTGGTGAGGGGCTCTTGATTTAGGGAATTGGATCAGTGCTCCAGTTCCCCGAATTAAGCCTGAATGCCTTCCACCTCCCCACCCCCCAGGCTTTGTATAATCCTCCGGGTTTAGCGCTTCCCCCTTGATTATAATAATAATCTATATAGTAGTACGTCACTGATGTCAGCTATGGTGTGTATACCTTGTACATGTACTGAATCAAGATATTATTTCCATTGGAACAGGTCAGGGGTTACAACATAGCAGTGACATCGCTGCCAGAAATAGTCATGAATGCTAGTGGTTTTCTTTGTGTTTTACAATACTTTATATGTCAACTACAGTTTGTATACTACACATAAAAATTTTGATTGATCTCAATGTTTATTCTGATCAGCGGTTATAACTTTAGTAGTGGTTGTAGTATTATATAATCAAAGAAATCGCTAAACCGACAAGGGTTATACAACGCTGGAGTTTACCTGGAGAGAGTTTCGGGGGTCAACGCCCCCGCGGCCCGGTCTGTGACCAGGCCTCATGGTGGATCAGAGCCTGATCAACCAGGCTGTTACTGCTGGCTGCACGCAAACCAACGTACGAGCCACAGCCCGGCTGGTCAGGTACCGACTTTAGGTGCTTGTCCAGTGCCAGCTTGAAGACTGCCAGGGGTCTATTGGTAATCCCCCTTATGTATGCTGGGAGGCAGTTGAACAGTCTCGGGCCCCTGACACTTTTTGTATGGTCTCTTAACGTGCTAGTGACACCTCTGCTTTTCATTGGGGGGATGTTGCATCGTCTGCCAAGTCTTTTGCTTTCGTAGTGAGTGATTTTCGTGTGCAAGTTCGGTACTAGTCCCTCTAGGATTTTCCAGGTGTATATAATCATGTATCTCTCCCGCCTGCGTTCCATGGAATACAGGTTCAGGAACTTCAAGCGCTCCCAGTAATTGAGGTGTTTTATCTCATTGAAAGGTTTGGTTGATGTCCGCCTGGAGCCTTGCAGTGTCTGCAATGGAAGACACTGTCATGCAGATTCGGGTGTCATCTACAAAGGAAGACACGGTGCTGTGCTGCTGACATCCTTGTCTATGTCAGATATGAGGATGAGAAACAAGATGGGAGCGAGTACTGTGCCTTGCGGAACAGAGCATTTCACCGTAGCCGCCTCAGACTTTACTCTGTTGACTACTACTCTTTGTGTTCTATTTGTAATGAAATTATAAATGCATCTACCAACTTTTCCTGTTATTCCTTTTGCACGCATTTTGTGCGCTATTACTCCATGGTCACACTTGTCGAAGGCTTTTGCAAAGTCTGTGTATATTACATCTGCATTCTTTTTGTCTTCTAGTGCATCTAGGACCTTGTCGTAGTGATCCAGTAGTTGGGACAGACAGGAGCGACCTGCTCTAAACCCATGTTGCTCTGGGTTGTGTAATTGATGGGTATCTAGATGGGGGAAATAATCTCCAACAGACTCAACTATTACATGGAGTTCAACCACCAATTCTCTGAAAGGCAGTTCGGCTTCAGGTCCCACCGCAGCACTCAGCATGCCATAAACATCATCTATGATGCTGTGGCCAGCCTGAAGAAGCAAGGGAACCTGGCCCTCATCGCCACCAGGGACGTTCACAAGGCCTTCGACAGCCTTTGGCACGACGGTCTCATTTACAAACTCGTAGACCTCCCTGATCACAACTGGACCTTTCTCAGGCTCATCTACAACTTAACAGGAAGAAAAATCATCCCCACCTTCCACGGAGCAGAAGCAACCCCCTTCACACCAACAGCAGGAGTACCCCAAGGCTCCTGCCTCAGCCCCGTCCTCTTCAACATATACGTCAATGACTTCCCCCAACCTGAACATACCGACACCATCATCACCCAATTCGCAGACGATGTCATCCATGTTGTCTCCTCCACCCCTACAGCTGGTGCAAACAAGCATAGGAGAGCAATCGAGAAAATGAATGAAGAACTAAATAGAACTGCCAGGTGGGAGAAAAAATGGAGAATCACAACCAACCCTGACAAAGTCCTCATCAGCACCGTTGGGTGCTTACCATCAACCATAGAAGGAAAAGGGGGCATTTCCATCAGAGGTACCCGTATTGCTATAACAAACCCAAACAAGATCCTAGGATACGAGATCGGCAGATTACTCAACTCTACAACCCACGTAACCAAAAAAGTAAACCTAGCGAAAGCCCGCCTTGGCCAACTTTATCGATTCAAAGCAGGCCCTCCCCACATCAAACTTCACCTGTACAAGATGATGATCAGACCTCTGCTAGAATACCCCTGCGTACCCATGTCGATCACAACCAAAACCAACATGCTCAAACTCCAAAGAGTCCAAAACAAAGCCCTCCACTTCATCACGAACACTAGACTCAGAGACAATCCGATCAGAGGACCTACACATACAACAGAGAATCCCTGCAATCAACGTCCGATTAGACAAACTTACTAAGAGACAACTATATGACATGCAGGAATTCTACGTGCCTGACAGAGAGAATCCCCCCCAACCAGTGAACACAACCGACTATACCATCACCACCCCTCCCCACAGATCCCAAAGAATGACCCTCCAACAAAGAGTTCGACGCTTTATCCACAAGGAGAACTTCCCTCATCCCAATATCTTAAACGACCTCCCCGCAGAAGAAGAATGGATACCACCAGAACCATTCTATGTCCAGTAACACAGACAAGCCCTCCCCATCTCCGGGTGACCCACCTCTATCAACCAACACCTCACAACTGACCTCGTTACATCTACTACTACAATACAGCAGGACACCACCTCAGTCACTGCCTTGCTGGCCGACCCCAGGTGAGCAACCAACCTCCATCGAATGCCCAGCAACCTTCGCCTGCAGCTGCGCCTCCTGACCAACCTCTTGCGAAAAAAAAAGCAAGCAATTCTATGCAGTATGCATCCTTCCAATTCAATGACGCAGTGGTATAACACAATATAGCATTGCGCATATTCACATTACACCAAAGTGGATAGGCCACTACCCTTTTTTATCCCCACCTACCCCTCCTCCCTCCCCAACCTTTCCCAAACTTCCATCCTTACCCATCCTTCTTCCCCCACTCCCCTCTTACCAAAGCTCTGGTCAGAACCTCGAACCTCGATTGGTGGCGATCTTCCTTCTTAGGACCCTTTCAAAGATTTTTATGATATGGGATGTTAGTGCTATCGGTCTGTAGTTCTTTGCTATTGCTTTACTGCCCCCTTTGTGGAGTAGGGCTATGTCTGTTGTTTTTAGTAACTGTGGGACGACCCCAGTGTCCATGCCCCCTCTCCATAGGATAGGGGCTTCTTGCAGTTCTTAATGAACACGGAGTTCCATGAGTCTGGCCCTGGGGCAGAGTGTATGGGCATGTCATTTGTCGCCTTTATGTTCTCGTTATTGAAGTTGAATTTGGTGAAGGCTCCCTCGTGACTAATCTCATTATGTCGGTCTGGGGCTCCGCGCATACATGTCTGAACCTCAATTATGTTGTGATCTGAGTATATTGTTTTTGATATGGTGGCATTTCGTATCAGATCATCATTGTTAGAGAAGATGAGGTCCAGTGTATTCTCCAATCTAGTAGGCTCTATTATTTGCTGGTTTAAGTTGAATTTTGTGGAGAGATTTAAAAGCTCGTGTGTGTGTGTGAGTTCTCGTCTGAGCTGCCTCCTGGTGTTATCACTGCAACATTATTTGCTATATTCCTCCATTTTAGGTGCCTTAAGTTGAAATCCCCCAGGAGCAAGATGTTGGGGGCAGGAGCTGGAAGATTTTTCAGACAGTAGTCAATTTTCAACAGCTGTTCCTGGAATTGTTGGGACGTTGCATCCGGAGGCTTGTAGACTGCAACAGTGACTAGATTTTGGTTCTCGATCTTTACTGCTAAAACTTCAACTACATCATTTGATGCATTAAACAGTTCTGTGCAAATAAGTGACTCTGCGATATACAGGCCAACCCCCCTCCCACCCTTTTTGTCTGTTCACTCTGTCGCATCTGTATAGGTTGTAACCTGGGATCCATATTTCATTGTCCAAGTGATCTTTTATGTGGGTCTCTGTGAAAGCCGCAAACATTGCATTTGCCTTTGCAAGCAGTCCACGGATGAAACGTATTTTGTTGTTCGTTGCTGGCTTTAGACCCTGTATATTTGCAAAGAAGAATGTCATCGGATTGGTGGTACTGGGGGGAGGGGCCTTTTTTTTCTGGCACTAATATCTGTATCT